AAGTAAGTAAGTAAGTAAGTAAGTAAGTAAGAGTTAGTAAGACTTTATTAAAGTGTCTAAAGTGACTGATTCTAAGCTACATAGAAAGCTACTCAATAGGTCTAGTCACAACATAAATGAGAAATAACGCCGCTTTGCGCTTGGGCCATAAATCGGAGGGGGGAAAACTCGGTCCGTCACTCACAATACGGACCTCGAACTCGGTTAGTAACAGGTATGGCTTAAGGTCTACCACGAACTCCGCACAGTATAATCAGATCTGCGCCAAATTTTTCTTCGCTATTTTGTTGAAAGGATAACAATCGATAGCCCATAACATGCCTCAAAAATAAAAAAAGAGGAAACCAAAAGAGATCACACAAAATTAAATAAGACGGAAGCTGATGCTATCAAATTTCACATTCCTCGTCAGCACTAAGGAAGCTGAATGCACTGAGCGTAAGCGCGAGAAAAAAAGTTCTCTAGCTACAGTGAAACCTGTATTAAGGCGGCTTCCTATAATTTTACGATTGCACGCGCGCATAGGACGAAAGCTCAAGTAATTTTTCATTGTCCTGTTAGATTTAATCAATGATTTGTAGGAAAACACACAATTAACGCCAAGCCAACGAAGAAGAACTTATCATGATAATTCCTTAATTTATTAAGAAGCCAATTTGAAGGTTTGTTGAGTGCACACTGGCTGGTTTCAAGGTCAGTCAGCTCAAATTGTATTTAGGTAAAGTTTTACAATCTATTTAAGCGGTGCTCTCATCGGTTTACTGTTACCTCCATTTAACATCTCTAAAAGGGCAGGATGCCAAGTGAGTCTGTCGGAAAACCAACATGCTTTGCTTAAGATCGTTTACATTCAATCAGGAGTCATAATCGGGGACGGAGACCGTAAGTCTTATGATCCGCGGGCACCTATGATATGGGACAATTTTTCTATTTTTAGACCAAATTGCGCCACCGTGACGACATATATCCGCGCGGATCCACGCACATGTCGGGGATTCTCGCGTGGATGTTGTCACGTTCCGTGATCAAATGGCGAGAGTTGCGAGATTCTCTTGCAGATTTTTCACAGCGATGGCAGGGAATAAGGCAATGAATAAGATCCAGGACTCTTACATATAGGTTTATGCTCTGAGCTGATGGAAAAGGTGAGTTTTTCAGGGTCGAAAACAAGACTTCAATTTCGCGCTGTGAATGCGTAAGCTTTTGCGTTTGTTCTGTAAAGAAAAATTATGAAAGAAAACTCTTTCCTCTGGTATCAAGCTAATTTGAGAGTTTTTCAAACAATGCTTAATCTTAACCAGAACCTGTTTTTGATAGTTTCTTATAGTTTCTGTTTGTATGGCGACTTTGCAAAAGTTTTTGACTAGCTCATTTGCATAGTGCAGCGTGTGCACTTTCAAGTCCGAGTCGGTGTTTTCAATTGTCCACAAATCTTGACAAAGATTTCTTTCGTTGTCTTTCGTGCTGAGATGCTGCAACAATTTTTACCAACGCCGAAAGGTTACTAACATCATGTGTGTTTCTTTAACACAGTGAAATTTTACACTGCGAAAATAAAATAGACAAGGAGTTTTGATAACTAAACCAACAAAATCGAAATGGTTGTTCGAGTTGATTAAAGAAATCGTCATCGTAACTTTGCCGATTATTTCTGCTCTATTCACATATTTTCAGCTAGGCTTTCAAAATTTTCTCAAACATTTATCAACCTTAAACATATTTAAAAACTAGAGATATTATCTGAGTTCGATGTAAGTTTTTGGGCCAAAAGTATCAAAATATTTCGGGAATTTTGGACGCCATTTCCCCGCGCTACATCCGCAAAAATCCTCGCATCGTGTACGCGCGTGTACCGCACATGATGGTGCAATTTGTTCTAAAAATAGAAAAATTGTCCCATATCATGGGGACAGCCCCAATACTAGAAATAGAGCGCGCTTACGGTCTCCGTCCCCGATTATGGTCCCTGATTCAATAGATCACTTCTTCACCGTCTCAATCTCGTTCCCAGAGTCTTCGTTCCCCTTGACCAGCGGTCGGAAAACGAGAGCGCTGGGAGCAACCATTTTGAAATAACCGAATTCTGCCCATCCGGTTTCACTGCGCAGTCTGCATCTATGGCGCACGCCTGAAATGGTTTCTCCCAGAGCTCTCGTTTTCCGACCGCTGGTCAAGGGAAACTAAGACTCTGGGAACGAGATTGTCACCGTCTACGTTATTTAAAACAAGTCAACCATCATTCATATTTGCCTACTCTGTGTACGTACGCGCTTTCTTCACATGCTGAAGAGGGGCTAAGCCCGAAACGTCTAGTTTACATGTACGGTAGTATTTGACACTTTCAAGAGCTTTTTCAGCCTTAAATTTAGTTCATCTTGATGCCGACCTGAGTTGGGAGTTGACTTCCAGTAGAGAGATTTAATGTTGGAATTTGATGGTGCTATTTCTCCTTCCACTAATATTAAACAAACAATCTGTACCTCTTTATATCTTAATTCACCAGTCCACTCACAACCATCACTTGGACATCTTATGTTTAACGATAGAACCTTCCGCTCCGTTGCTTTGTCTGGAAAGATATCCTAAAATGAAACAGAAAGTCTAAGACTATTGAGAGATCGAATGATACAATTTCGTATTGAACTATGCCTTTTCAATTATGCCTTGGAAAATCATTAGGAATAACTTCTTTAAAATTAATTAGTAATTATAATTAAATACGTAATAATCAAATATACGTAATTATCAAGACAGTAATTATTTGTGAATAAATTACTTTACCAGGAGATCTACCATCACTTAGGCCCAGTTCAGACGCCGAACTTTTCATGAGCCGAACTTAACTCGACTTTGGACCGACCCAAATTATCAAAAGTACGCCTGTTGATTCAGACGTCGAACTTAATTCACCGAACTTAATTTAGTTTGAAGCAAAACACATCGAAACATCAGCGGTCTTCAGGCAAGGTGTATGCATTAGG